GATCAATTCTGGAGAAAATGACATGAACTATTTGTGGCGGATGTTTATGCATGTTTTCTGTTATCATCGGAGTAAATTGGTTGACTCAGTAGCCTCGCTTTCGGCTCTATATAATCAACACAAATTACAGCACAGGCAAAATGTGTGATGACCATGGGCGATTGAACATAGTTCAATTCCCAAAAAACTGTATGAGAAAAATAAAGTGTGTCGCGAGTGTTCTTTGTCTGGGACTCCTGGACAAAGGAAAGGAGTTACTAAATTCGGATGCACCCAGTGCAATGTCCCAGTGCACCTTGAGTGCCAATCCAACCATATTATGAGGATGCTCAGAGAATAGGGACTTTAAATTAGTGAAAATTGATGTTATTACCATATAAGGTAAATATGGACTTTTCTTGAATTATCAAATGGGGAATAAAAGTATGGACAATGGCCAAAAGCGAGACAGGCTACATGCAGAGTTTTCAAGTGTACACTGGAAAAGAAAATCAACAGGAAAAGGGACTATCACTAGGGCTGTGTATTTAGCCAAAAATTTCGATACGATACGATACAATATTTTGTAAAGCGATATGCGATATATTGGATTCTAGAACAAGTCCATCGAAAAAGGCTTAGAAATCATTTTAATGCATAATTTTCATAACAACTAAGTGTTTTATTACCCATTTTAAAGTTCTTGTCTCATTGTTATTACAAATAACACTTCAAATTAAAACTTTTTGTGGCATTAAAATCAACATGTTCAAATTCAATTGTCTTTGTATTTTGTAACAGTTATAAAAACTGTGTTATTTCCTACAAATTATATTATTATTGAACAGTTTTATTTCAAAAAAGTGAAATATAATCTTTGGTGATTGAAATTCCCATCTTTTTAACAGAAATAGAAGAAAAACTATTTGTCCGATACGTATTGGAAGTTATTTTTCGATACGACATTTTTCTTGAATATCGATACGTATCGATATATCGATATATTGATACAGCCCTAACTATCACATAGAGTTGTCATGGACCTCAGTACCCCAATGTTTGGATCAAATCTCTCTGTGTACATGGATAACTTTTATAGGGGCCCAGATCTTCTTAGGGACCTGCACGTTCATGGGATAATGGCATGCGAAACTGTTTCGGGCCAACAGAAAAGGTCTTCCTAAAGACCTTCTTCCAAAACAAATACGACTGGAAAAACATGAGTACAGAGTCGCTCAGAATGATGTTCTTTCATTCTCTGTTTGGCAGGACACAAAACCTGTGCTAGTCCTGTCAAACTTTCATGATCCACAGCACACTGGACGGGTGACGAGAAGGACGGCTGAGGACAACGTAGTAGAGGTTCCACTTCAACTTGCTGATTGTCAGAAGTACATTAAGGGAGTGGACACTTGTGATCAAATGATTGGTTATTACATGCTGCATCATCGATCAAAGAAATGGTGGTGTAGACTTTTTTTTCTACATGATGATGGTTTCGGCACATAATTCTTATATACTTGCCAAAGACACTCATCCTGAAGTAACAAAGGATCGTTGCCCCAACTTTCAGGATTTTTTAGAGGAGATTGTGGAGGATTTAATCAGTGAAATTCGCTCTTCAAGAGAGCCACCCAAAGTTGATGTTGCAGGCAGGGCAACCGAGCATACAATTGAGAAACTATTTGAGAAAAACAATGTGTGCCGTGAATGTTCTTTAGGAGGAGCACCAGGACAAAGAAAAGGTGTAACAAAGTTTGGATGTACCAAGTGTAATGTACCAGTCCACTTAGAATGCCAATCAAAGGACATTATGTGAATGATACGACAGTAATTATAAAATTTGAGACTTCAGTAAATCTTTTTTTTTATATGATTTAACCATCATAATCATGACTACAGTTATTATTTTTTTCAACAAAGAGTGTGTAGGAGTCATACCCTCAAGGTCCGATATATGACCTATGCCACTGTACGATAACTCCTGCACATCTCCTCTCATGAGAAGTGCCTTTAGCACTCTCTACCTGGATCATGATTCTTGTGCCATAGCTTTTGTTCTCTGGTCAGGGATCATCAGGCTAGAGCTGACAAGCTGGAACAGGAGCTTGAAGCTTTGTAATCTTAATAAATTAACAGTTATGAAAAGTCTGTTTTATAAAATATTCGAGAGTCATAATAGGCATATTATTAATCAATCCTTTTTCTGTTTACAGATGAGAAAAGTTTCCCAGCCTTTGGCTCAAGGACAAGCACTGCATCAGTTGCACCCTGTGGAAGTTCGACAATGGCAGCATACACAGGTACAATTACATTAAAAATAATGAGCATCCTTAATTTTATCTTTCACCATTTTGCTAGTTAATACATATTAAACTACAATTCATTTTCTTTTTACAGATGAAACATTTCGTACTATGATTAAGCCAGGGATGACAGCTGGTAAGTTCAACCCTGGTACCCTAATGTGGCTCAAAATGACAGAATTCCAGAAGTCAGGAGTCACTGATCAGTTGATTTCAGGATAATTCTTAGGATTTTTATACTTCCTGAAATATTCCTGAGGTCAGGATAATGCATGAAATTATGATCTCAGGAACATCAAGAAATCTTGGGATTTTTACTCTTTAAAATCAAGTTCCTAAGGCCAGGATTAGGTCAGGATTCCTATGGCCAGGATTATGTCAGGATTGTAATCCCAGGAAATGTCATGACATTTCAGAATTTTTATACTACTGTGAAATATTCCTGAGGTCAGGACAAGGACAGGAATTCTGTATTCCCAGGAAATATCAGGATTTTTTGCTTTACCAGGATGTCCTGTGAAATCCTGAAAAATCCTTGTTCCAATTCCTCAGGTACCAGGATAATCTTGAGATTTCCTGGGATTTTTCACCAAGATATCTTGAGAAAATCTCAGGAAATCTTGGGATATCCTGGTCTTTTATCACAAGAAATAGTATAGAAAGGAATTTCTCATTAAATTTATTAGACACATTTACCCTTTAATTTTTATATTTGCATAACTCCCAATTCACAATGAGTTTTACTATTCTTTTACAAAGGAGAGGTTGTGAAACAGGGGAAATGTCATACAAGAGTGTATCCATTCAAAAATGTGCATGAATGGACCATTAGAACAACTACAGGTAGAGTACAATAATATAGTTCAATTTTTATTTTACACATTTGAGAAACAAAACAAGTAACATTGAAGTCGTTTATTTTGTTTATGGTTTTTAGAGTACATTTGTTAAATATCAAAATTTTATTTACTGAATAGGTCTCCTACAGAATGGACTGTTATCTATGGAGAGCGGAAATGTCGAAATGGGTATTAAAGGAGTATCTCCCTTACTTGGATTAGATTGGTTTGACATGGTACATGGAAATGTGCCTGATTACATGCACGGTTTGCTACTTGGAGTGACCAAAAAATTACTTTACTCTTCTGTTTTCTCTGTCAAATTCTAGCAAACCATACTTTGTTGGCAAAAACATCAAAAGTACAGACAAAATTTTTTAAAATATGAAACCAACGGATCATATTTCTCGCTTACCCAGAAAAGTTGAGAAAAATCTTCAACATTTTAAAGCTTCTGAACTACAAATGTGGCTGCTTTATTATTCATTACCATCTCTAATCAACTTTCTACCTCGGGAATACTTGCAACACTTGGGACTCCTTGTAGAGGGCAGCTATCTTCTTCTATCAGACAAGATAACAGACCGAGATTTGGACAGAGCTGACTGTCCTTGCCGAGATTTACAGGGAATTTGTAGTTTTATATGGTACAAACAATTGCATCTTTAATGTACATAATGTTGGCTGTCATCTAACAACCTATGTTCGAAAGTTTGGACCATTGTGGGCATGGTCCTGTATTCAATTTAAAGACATGAATGACTTCATCCTGGATTCCGTTCACAGTACAGGGGATGTTTGCTTGCAAAAAATGTGGATGGTGCAAGCCCAAAAATGACTTTCTGTGGATGCCTCACACATATCAAATCCTAGTTTCAAAACTTTTGTGGAGGACACGACGCATTCTAGTAGGAAGACAGTTACCATCAAGCAAAGAGCAGAGAATTGCCAAATAGTTGGGGGATTACAGACATTTCTATCGAAAATCTTCGCTTAGAAAATTATATCCGTGCATTGTTGGATATTGAAGGTGATTTAGGAAGGTTGTCAAAAGCAATCAGGATTGTTAGTGAAGATGTGGTGTTTTATAGAGTACATTACTTTCGCATGAAAAAGAGGATTGCATACACTGTATGTCGTCACAACAGACCCTGAAGCCTCTGGAATAAATCTTGCAGCAATTCAGTTTTTCATTCTCCACCATACAACTAAGAAAAGTCTTGCTGTTGTTCACCCTCTTCATATCCTTGAAGACAGTCCATATGTACATGGTGAAGTTCACCATCTCATTCGAGTTGAGAAGAGAGCCACCCAAGAGAAAGTGATCCTTGTCGAAAGCATTTGTGAAAAAGTGCTGTTTCTTAATGGAAACAAAGATTATGTTTGCATAGCCCGATTGCAAAATTTATATGGATTATGCTCTTAAAGAACTTCTATTTTTAAACGAGTATACTTTAAAGTAAAACTGTCTCTTGTGTTGTTAGTTGCTTGTTTTAAAGCATTGTAAGACATAAGTGTTCTTTATTCCAGAATATATGTACATGGAATTTGGCATTCTTAACCCTTGTAGTGCCGGTACGCGATAAAGCGACGACCCAGATAACACCATCACAGTGCCGGTCGTCGATATAGTGCAGTACGCCATGTTTTCCGTTCAGTGCCGGTCGTTGATATTTCGACTTTAGACACATGACGTTTTATTTCGTATTTTAGCCAATGAAAACTTGGGAATCCCTTCAGTTCATATAGAAATTCTAATAATAGAGACATTGAAGTTTGTTTCTAGGTATTTGATTGGTTAATTGGGGGAAATACTAATATTTATTATTGGAAAACAAAACTTGAAACGAGTTCTTTGTTACGATATGAAAACAATATGGAGGTTGTAGATGATGTGGTAGAAGGAAATGCGGTTTTAGACCAAGTAGATCCCGAGAACAGAGACCTATTTAGAGAAATTTTTCTCAATGAAAATTCGGACGATGAATTTGTCGGCTTTGATGCCGAAGATTTGGAAAATGACGAAGGAACAGTCGAGTTTGAAGACAAGTGGATTCAGGACGACCTCATAGTACACGCTCCTGTCTTCCGAGGCGAGAAGAAAATCAACGTGGATTTAGACGATGACTGTGAGATGATTGATTTTTTTAAATTGATAGTAACAGAACAGTTTCTAGAAGAAGTTTTAGTGCAAGAAACAAACAAATATGCGGCAGATTTCTTCAACTCGCCCCAAGGTAGGAACCTCAAGCCTCAATCGCGTTTCCGGAAATGGTCCGATGTTGATCTTGACAACATGAAAAGATTCATAGCTATTGTAATAGGAATGGGCCTAGTACAACATCAGGACTTACAAGATTATTGGAGTACAGATGAAATGTTGAGGACACCATTCTTCGGAAACACCATGACCAAGAACAGATTTCTCATGATCATGTCCTTATTCCATCTAAACAACAACGACAATCATGTGCCTCGTGGTCAAGATGGACATGATCCAATTTTTAAAGTCAGGAGGGCTTATGATCATTTTCGACTGAAATTTGAAGACCTTTATTCGCCAGGGGAAAATATTGCAATTGATGAAGGGATGATTGCTTGGAGAGGCAATTATTCCTTCCGTGTCTACATGCCGGACAAACCTGACAAGTTTGGAGTCAAACTATTTATGCTGTGTGACTCATCAAATGGATACTGTTCTCGTTTTGAGATGTATCATGGTACCCAGGAAAATGTGTCAAACAAAGGAAAAATATATGACCTGGTGATGAGACTTATGAATCCCTATCTAGGAAAAGGCCATAAACTTTACGTAGATAACTTCTACACATCACCTATTCTTTTTCACGACTTATTTCAGCGCCGGACAGGAGCCTGCGGAACCATGCGTGTCAACAGAAAGGGGGTCCCTGCAGATCTAAAAACAGTTAAACTCAAGAAGGGTGAAAGTGTGGCCATGACAAATTGGACCCTTCAACTGCTAAATTGCAAGAGGGATGTACACATGTGTACCACAGTGCACAATGCAGAGTTCATCAACGTTCCTGGCAGAGTAGACAGAACCACAGGACAGCCAATTCAACACCCCCGCTGCATCGTGGATTACGATAAATACATGGGAGCAGTTGACAGATGTGACCAAATAATCGCATATCCGGCTTTCAAACGAAGAACCTTGAAGTGGTGGATAAAAGGTTTTTTTCCACCTTCTTATGATGGCAACCCTAAATGCGTACTTGCTTTACAAGGAGCATTGCCTGCGACTTCGGAAAAAAACTGTGTTACATCGAGTCTTCAGAAGAGAAATCATAAAATCACTCGTAGGTGAGACCACCCCTCAACCCACTGTAGTCCGTGGAGCTGCCAATCCCAGAGACGTTGAGCGTTTAACTGGCCGTCACTTCCTATCAAAGATCGCGCAAAAGGAGGGACAGAAGTCAAAACCTCTTAGGACTTGTCCTGTATGTTCTACAACCACAGGAAAGCGAAAAACTGTGGGAGATGGGAGAAAAACTGTAAGATCGACATATGAATGCAAGGTTTGTGACTTTGGACTTTGTGTACATCCTTGCTTCATGCTTAACCACACAAAAAAGGACTATAAACAGGCCCACCAGCGTCTACAGGACCAAAATGAGACAGTAGTGACTCAGACTAAATTGAACATTCTTTGATGTATACTATTGACAATTATTGAAAGTGAATTTGAATTTGAAATATTATTGTTGTTGCTCTAACACAGGATGAAGAGTTTGCATTTTTTCTTGTTTATACCACTCTGTGTTTAATGTGTTTTATGGAAAGAATTATTCACTTTATGAAGGTAATTTATATAGAAATATCAGTTATAATGAATTAATGAAAATAATTCAAAATGGAAATGAAAATTTAAACAGAAATATTTAATTATGAATAAATGATTTGTATTTTAATTTTTTTTTTTAACAGAATTTGTATAGTTTTGCTCTATATCTTTTTAACAAAGCAATATATCAGAAAAAATTTCTTCACAGTCTTGTTCTTTGTTTCTTTCTGAAAAAAAGTTGCACAGATTGTTATCAGCAAAAAAGATAAGAAAACGGTGATAATTGAGATAATCTGCAGCATGTGTAATTTGAGAGAAATTTGCAAATCAGCCTGGCACAGTCAGCGGCTGGAGCTCCTTATCAGCTCGGCACTCACAGATGCTGTTATCTAAAGCATCACTGGCACTACAAGGGTTAATTTATAAGAATTGTTTTGACATCCATAATTTTTTCCAGTGTGCGAAATTAACGGTGGACCTGGACCGGTAGACAATGTCTATAGAAAATCTAGTCAGTCTATACCGATCGAAATATTAATAGACCGACTTGTCTATAGGAATTCTGAGTAAGAAACTGGTTCCCTGCTTGTCTCTAATAAACAAACCACAAAAAGGAGGACCAGTTTAAATAAAACGTCTGTATTACACTGATGTATTCCGTTCACCCCTTAGTTATAATAGTTTGTTCCACGATGTATGCAGAAATAATTCGAATCGGAATATTTTATTTTTAACATGAGGGGAGGTTAAGTTGTGATTACTTAATGGCAGCGGACACCAAAACAGTGCAGAAGAAACATGTCCTTCTTCGACCGTTTAAAGGATGTTGAGGGTGCACGCCCGGAAATTATTATTAAGCGGAAGGTAGCGAAGACAGCGAGTTCCAGCAAGACAGAAAAAGATGCTGAGTATGACAAAGTAAAGCGTAGTAGAAGCTTTCAATGTATGAACAAGTTTTCATGTATTATTTATTTTAATTTCAATATTTTAGCATTGAATGTAGTATTCTTAATTTCGGTCCATAGGAAGTTGCTGTGGTCTATAGAAAATGAGATGTCTATGGACCGAAAGTCTATAGGACTTTGAAGTTAGTTTCGCACACTGTTTTTCATGACAGTATTTGGAGAAATATACCATTTTCATACAAATTAATGATTTTTGCTTTGTAAGAAGTGTTTTGAGCCTGAAACAATATATGTCTCTGAATTTCAGATAAAGTCCTGAAAAGCAGAAGAAAGTCCTGCAAAAACCTGCAGCTGTGACAGTGGGATTTTACAGGGTGTTTGGGTAATGAACATGTCCTACAAATTTCTGTACAGTCACACTTGATGTAAGTGGGTTATTCCAGGACAAATGCAGGAGCATTAAGTCCTGTATTATCCCTTTTCATTAAGACATGGGAGAAGTTTCTAGGGATATCTTCAATCATTCCCAAAAGTGGGATTAGTTTTTTAGGTGCATTTAAAGTAAATTATTTAAATATTAATAATAATTACCATATTATCAAGTTCTTATGTTTAAACTATTTTTTTCTTATAGTGTAAGCACTAACTCCATATTATCCAGTTCTTATGTTTAAATTAATTTTTTCTTATAGTGTTAGCACTAACTTCTCATCAAAATGTGAGGATACACCCAAAAAAGAGAGATAAGCAATCATCTTCCTCATCATCACCAGAAAGGTAAATAATTCATTAAAATTACACCCTAAATTTCAAGCCAAAATTCATGTTTTCCTACAGAATGATCATGCGCACCATATTACCATTCAGATTGATTTTTTCCATTATTAAGAAAGAGGCATTTAATACAAGAATAAATTTCTTGACAATTCTTTATTTTATTTATATTTATTTTTAGTTTGAAAAGAATGGGACATGTTCAACCAAATAGATTGAACAAGTGTTCTACAAAAATCTCTAGATTGAATGACTCTTTCATTCTTTTTTCATGTTTTTAAAGGAAGAAGAGGTAGAGAATATTGTCTGCAAAGCACCTTGCTTGACATCTGCAGTAAGCAGGTGTTTTTGTACACACTCTCTATTCAGGAGTTACTAAACTCCTCCGTAATGGGACACAAGAATGTCAAGTCAGGAGACAAGAGAGGCCCCGACTCTACAAGGAGCTTCCAAATTGAAAGTAAGTTATTTACATCTCCATTCCATGTGTTTATACTTGTTTTCTTCTGAATCAGAAATTTTGCTTTTTTGGGGGCATCTTGGGTCAATTTTATCTCACAGCTGAAGTCTCATGGCTCAATGAAATTTTCTGATCAAAATTTGTCTGTTGTTGTAATTGTTCTAAATATTTCACAATTTCATCATCTTCTCCAGAAGTGAAATTGTCCCCCCCCCCCCTGGCAATTCTTTTAAGTAACCTTCACTGTAGTGTAAATGCCTGGCAGTTCATGGATATTGTTCATTCATCATAAGTTATACAAATGATAACTGATTGTCCATATTTTCTTCAAAGAACTCTATAAATGCAAGTTATGTAGAGTAATTGAAAATTAGTCCTTCATTTAATTTTTAAATGCAGAAAGTCTTAATTTTTTTTCCATTGTAGAGAGAATGCTTAACTGAAGAAGCTTTGTTTTATTTCACTTTATAGAAGCTCTGTGCAAACATTTCCATAAAGATTTGGCTGTGGTGAGGGGGAAAATAAGGGATAGACTAAAGTTAATTAGAAGGGCTTATAGTGGACTGGAGCAAGAGAAAGCCAATGTGTCTGTGTTCAACTGACTGTTGAAATATGATATATATTGATTATAATGAGATACAAATAGATTTTCCTTGCCTTACCTAAAGCCCTACATTTGTTTAGGCAATGGCAAAATATTCGTTTTGTTCTGTTCAGGACACTGCACCAACAAGGGAGGAAAAACAGAGGTTATTTGATGCAGGATTGGGTGAAAAGAAAATCAAATTCCCCCCAAAAAGGCAACCCTGTCTCTTTCAAAGACATCCTACTCTGTAGGGCAGAGGTGCGCTCTGTAGGGCAACATTCATGGCAGTTACTGTATAAGGGATTAAAAGTTCCGTCTTCTCTGATTACCTATGTTTTACCCAACAGTTCACTGTACACTATATATATTTTGTTGATTTGGATCAAAATATTACCAATGTTCAAGGACAGATTCTTGAAATATGATAATAAAATGGAAAGTTTATAAAATCTAGTTTTATTATGGTACATGTATATTGCTTTAGTTACTTTGATGCTAATTCACTGTATACAATAATCATAAAGATTAAAGGCTGCAAAGAATGAAAAGAAAGAAAAGCAACAAGAAGCAATCATAGAAACTATCAAAATGATGTCTGAAAGAATTGCTTGAGTCAACTTTTTTAACCCTTGTCCTGCCGGTACTCCCAGATAACACCATTACAGTGCCATCATCAATGCAGTGCAGTCTGCCATATTATCCATCACAAGACGAAAGACCACCTTTAAGCAATCGCTTAATGGTAGCTTAATGGTGGCTTAAAGAAGTTAATTCCTTTAAGCCACCATTAAGCCACCATTAAGCTAGACTTACAGGTGCTTAATGTCCAAACTTCATTAAGCTACCATTAAGCCACCATTAAGCTGAGCTTAATGGTGACTTAATGGTCAACCCTCATTAAACTTTTACGCATCTTATATAGAATCTTTGAACTAAGTTTTAGTTATTTTAATATCATTTACGCAAAATCTATTCCATCTCATAATTCTGTCTCGATCATAATTTCTACGAGTTTTTTGTCAACATGCATAAACTTGATCACTGGGAACGAAGTTAGCTAATAGCCACAGGGGCTTGCTCGAGGTGTCTAATCTTTTCTTAAAATCATTTACAATGATAATAAAACAAGACATCCTGTAACAGAACTGTATATTATTTTTATTTTTTAAATTAACCATTATTACATGCGTTGTTTTTATTTTTAGTGTATATGATTTTAAAAAATAAATAATTATTACACACCGTGAGCAAGTCCTTGTGAAATATCTTAAATTTACAATACCAAAAATCAGTTTGTTTTTAGAATTATCTATATTCATGAACACAAAATATATATTACTTTTTAAAAACAAAAGTGTCATTTTATTTCATATGTTAAAAGAAACATTCCGCTACAGAATTCACAGGAATATAACTATATAATCTCATGAAAAAAATCTTTGTCCTTTTTTTTTCGGGGGGGGGGGGGGCTACTGGTATACAAATGTTTAGTTTTCAAAGATTGACTTTTACCATGAAAAACTTTTTAATGGCTTTTACATCATGAATAATTCTAATTAATTAATTATATTTTTTTTTTTTAATAATGCAGCGGTAAGTATCTGTCAAAATCTAGTCGGTCTTCAATGTTTGTTATTTCAAAATCGATTTTCAGGGGAACGGCCGATCAGATTAAACATGACATCCGACCAGATGTATACACATTGAGAAACGGGGTAAGATTAACAGATAATCCGTGTACAGTAAACCGACTGGTCAGACAATAGACCTTAATTAGGTGTCCCCCTGTCCCCGGTTAACTAACAGGAAACTACACATACACAACACTGACAGATTTTAATGATCAATTATTTTAAAAAAAATTAAATTTGACGCAAGCATATAACAAATTAAAAATTATGATTCATCGTAAAAAGTCAATTATTTTGATACCCATTATGATACAAAAAGAATCTAAAAAAGGTTTTTGTAAACGTAATTAACCAGGTAACTCAAGATTACGCGAGGATTGTTACTAAATTGTTGACACAGAAACCGTTAATATCCGCAGTATATTAAAAAAAATAGTAGAATCTGTTTTTTTTCCCTCTTTCTTTTTCGATGTTAGACTTTTTTGTTTTATCTATAATTAATTTATCTTCAAT